CGCTTACCTGAAAACCTTAATGCCCTAAGCAAACATTCAGGGTCAAGGCGCCTACACCTTGTGTTAACAACATACCGTCACAAACAGCTGGCTATCGTGCAAAGATAAGGCGGCATCGGCGAGACAGCTTCCTTGCGGCTTTCACTGCCACGCGTCATAATCAGCCATTACCCCGCAGATAACTCAGCACCAAACACACTTTAAACAGACAATCCGATTAGGAGACGGCAGCAGACGCGCCACTGGTGTCGGTTGCGAGCCATGTCCTGTAAAGTCTCGAGCCAAGCACAAGGCGAGTCACGTGGACTCCAGCCCGGAAGGCGAGACGGACCAACGGCACCCAGTTTGGTCGTCAGTGACTTCATTTCCCGCTGCCAAGTCAACTTCTGTCCACCTCGAGCCTTGCGCCATCCTACACCTGGCAGACTAAACAAGGCCCTCCTAGGTAAGCGGTGACCAGGCATACGTAGCACGTGCCCGAGCCAACGCAACTTATTCAGTGCTATCTGTTGTTCTAGGGAGCTAGCATGATTATCACTTCCTAGTACTCGCCTACGCACATCATCGTTGCGGACACGCTGGTGCCATCCGACTCCAGCAATGCTGCGCAGACAACGATGATCAAAGACTTGAAGGCGCTTCAGATCTTCAGACCGAAGGGGCCAAGTCTCACTACCATAGAGCAGAACGGCCCTCACTGTGGCCTTGTATACACGGCCTTTCAGACGAAGGGAAACTCCCTTCTGTCGCCAAAGATGCCGCAGGTTCAAGAAGGCAGCTCTGGCCTTTGCAATGCGTGAGCTGACGTCAGTTTCTATGCGCCCATCATTGCTGATGCAGCTGCCAAGATAAGTGAAATGATCAACCACCTCGAGTTCCTCGTTAGCAAGCGTCAAGGGGTCATCAAGTGGCTGGTGGTCCTGCAGCAACACTTTGCACTTTGAAGGTGCGAAGTGCATACCAAATAATGGGACCACTCTGGACAGGCTATTCAGGGTTGATTGTGCCGCCCCAACATCGTCGAAAAGCAAGACGATATCGTCCGCATAATCTAGATCAACTAACCTTTCACCAGGCAGCACTTCAACGCCTACATCGTGAGATTCCGCAAGGGAACACTCCATGATAGAATCCACAACGAAATTGAACAAAAATGGGGAAATCGGACAACCCTGACGAACGCCACTTGTGGTCGGAAAGCTATCCGACAGGACACCGTAGACCCTGACGCGGCCTGTAGTGTTCGAGTATAGAGCACGAAGGATGTTCACATATTTCGTGGGAACACCTTTCCGCGCAAGTATTTCGAACAGAATCGATCGATCGACTGAATCGAACGCACTCTTGAAATCGAGGAACACAGCTATTGTCGGTCTGCGGTACGCGTGGCGCTGCTCTAGCACCTGCCGCAAAGTGAATATATGGTCTATACAGCCACGTCCTGGGCGGAAACCGGCCTGCTCTTCCCTAATCCGAGATTCCCGTTCCGCAGTGAGGCGACGAACGAGAATCGAGGCCAGTAATTTTGTCACAACTGGCGTTAGGCTAATACCCCTGTGGTTAGAACAGTCTGTGCGACTGCCCTTCTTGTATATTGCCACTATAATCGATTCGCTCCAATTAGCCGGGACATCTCTTCCTTCCAGATACATTCGAATAAGGAGGTCAGTGCTTTGCAGAGGACCTCACCTCCATCCTTAAATAGTGCAGGTGGGAGGGAATCCGGGCCAGCGGCACGAAAACGATTAAGGGCTGTGATCGCGTTTCGGACCTCGGCCTCCGACGGAGGCTCTAAACTAACCGTCCATGGCTCGTCCTGCATCACCTGAGTAGGAAGAGGTCCGGGAGCAGGGGGCCAGCTGAACTGATCTTGAAAGTGTTCCGCCCAACGAGCCATACGGCGCTCCTTATTGTGTATCAGCGCACCCGCGCTGTCTCTGATTGTCTCACTGACGCCTGGTTTTCTGGGACCAGTGGTGCGGATTAGCTGGAAGAGCTTGCGGTAATTGCCTACTGCTCCTGCTCCTCCATTTCTTGAGCCCGACTGGTCCACCAGGCTTCCTTGTCAGCACGTAGGCTCCGCTTTAGTTCACGCCTAATAGCCCGTCTGGTCACATTGTGTTCAGAGCCAGCCGGGAGGTGTCTTCTAGATTCCAACAGGTTCACCGACCTCTCGGATATCCAGTGACTGGTGCGGTGACGACTGATGGTGCCACAAGCAGATGCTCCTGCGTCGTGCATGGCGGCCGAGATCCTATTCCACTGAAGCTCAGTGTCATTAGGACAAGACAGCGGAAGTTCGATACGCAGCGCCTCTTGATAGGCTTGCCTGACCGAGGACTGAGACAATTTCTCCGTTGCCAATCGTAGGGGACGCTTGGTGCGCCTCCCGGTAAAGTTCATGGAGAAACGACAGCGTACCAAGGCATGATCAGAGTCGACACAGGTACTCCAGTATGAGCGGCAATCCAGGATGGAACCACGCCACCTGTAACTTATGGCTATGTGGTCAATTTGGGTCCATCGCTGGCCAGCTACAGGAGGACGCCAAGTGGCACTTCGGCGCCCACTGTGTCTAAAAGCAGTGCTACTAAGAAACAACTGGTGCTCCGCACACAGTTGCAGCAGACGCTCACCGTTGTCAGTCCGTTCGGAGTTAAGCCCATAATTACCACCCAGCTGAGCTTCTGAAGAGCTCAGACGCCCTACTTGTGCGTTCATATCCCCTGCAAGTACTATAATATCTGAACTAGTAGCACTGCGTAGTAGCGCGTTCAGTTCGTGATAGAATGTGTCCTTGACAGCATTAGAACTGCAGTCGGTGGGAGCATAAGCGGAAATCACAAACAAACAGCGTTTTGTACTACTTCGTGAATCAACCTTAGCTGATGTCGTCAAACGGGCTGCACATAAACGGCTGTTCACCGGAATCCAATCAACCAACGATGGCTCAGCCTTGGAGCTTAGAATGATACCTACACCAGCTTGACCCGTGAGTGCTGCATCGGCGTCTCCGGATGCGTGCAACCAATAACGAGAGGATAAGCCGGGTGCAGTTAATTCAATAACCCCGTTAGGGTCATTGATCCTAGTTTCGGACACACAACACACATCAATACCCAGTGTGTCCAAGGTGCGTGCGAGTGCAGCCTGTTGACCTGTTTGTCTTAGAGTGCGAACGTTGAATGTCGCCATGGAAACGGGATAGCGTGGCCTTATAAGGGACTTTTGCCGATAGGCGTCCGATAGGTGCTGTGGGATGGTGGCTGCAGATGGTTCTACTCCAGTGGCACTTCGGTTGCTGTCAATTAAGCTGGGAATTATAGAAGGAAGGTTAGTAATGGGGGTCGGGATGGGAGTAAGAGAAAAGGTGGAAAAGAAAGAAGGGAGGCGCCAGCAGTAGCATGTTTTCGCTTATCCGCCCTGCTGTATGCAGCAGATAAGGCGACCCTTGATAATCTGCGCGACGGCCGATGCAGGATGAAGTTTATGTTTGAAGAAAATGTCATGGTTGTATGTGGGCTGAGATACTGCCAGGGCGCCCAGACCTAGACAGGATGCGTGATGACGTACTCATGCGCATACAAGACTATGAGAAGGCCAGCGTACTTAGTGGGCAATATGGGGCAGCGTTTGTCAAGGAAACCACTTTGACAGGTGTTGAGCTGGTTTGCAGAATTTCAGAAAGTTCAGGACTAGCTGAATTTGTTGCATTGGAGACGGAAGTTCGTAGGCTGTTACAAGGGTTGAACCCTTCTAAGGCCACTGGGCCTGATTTATTTCACCAGAAACTGTTGCATGAATTGGCTATGGAACTATGTGGACCGCTCGCTATGGTGCTTCGGAAATCGCTTCACAGCTGTTCAGTACCTTCTGAATAGAATGAAGCTGTCATCTGCCCCAACTTGAAAAATGGGACAGGAGTCTGCCTGCAAATTACAGGCCAGTTAGTCTGACGGGTTGTAGTAGACAAACTCCTCGAGAAACTGGTGAGATATTCATTGGAGAGTCATCTGAGTAGACTTAATCTACTTAGCAATGTACAACACGGATTCCGGGAGGGATTTTCGTGTCTGACGAATCTACTGGTGGCTGGCGAAAGTTGGGCAGATGCAGTGAATAACGGCCACGCACTGGACGTGCTTCTCGTCGACTTTTCGTAGGCATTTGACAAGGTACCCCATTTGAGGGTCGCGCGAAAGCTGACCTCCTACAGGTATCTAGCCGCGCCCTTATTGGATGACTGCCAAGCTTGTAAATCATGGCGGTCCGAAGCTATCCACCGTGGCCCAGTGGCATAAGCCGTTGGCTGGAGGTGCAAGCCGCTGGTCGTCCTGGGTTCGAATCCTGATAGATGCGCACAATTGATGATGCCCAACAGGCTGAAACTGCACTCTAGTGCTTTCCTGGCATGTTGACGACTATCTGACTTGGAAGCTGGCTGTGAGGAATATCAAGTATCAATATCAAAATCCCGTACTCATGAGTACATCAAAATATTTCCGCCCTAACAGTTTCTAAATGCTGTCATGCATAGCTACTGTTAGTGGTATCTTTCGGGGCCAACCCTGTCCTCTGAAACATACGTAACTTGCATGGTAGTAGAGGTTGGTGAACCTGTTGGAATCCAGTAGAAACCTCCCGGCTGGCTCTGAACACAATGTGACCAGAGAAGCTATTAGACGTGAACTAAAACAGAGCCTGTGTGCTGACAAGGAAGCCTGGTGGACCAGTAGGGCTCAAGAAATGGAGGAGGCAGGAGCAGTAGGCAATTACCGCAAGCTCTTCCAGCTAATCCGCACCACTGGTCCCAGAAAACCAGGCGTCAGTGAGACAATCAGAGACAGCGTAGGTGCTCTGATTCACAATAAGGAGCGCCGTATGGCTCGTTGGGCAGAACACTTTCAAGATCAGTTCAGCTGGGCCCCTTGCTCCCGGACCTCTTCCTACTCAGGTGATGCAGGACGAGCCATGGATGGTTAGTTTAGAGCCTCCGTCGGTGGCCGAGGTCAGAAATGCGATCACAGCCCTCAATCGTTTTCGTGCCGCTGGCCCGGATTCCCTCCCACCTGCACTATTTGAGGATGGAGGTGAGGTTCTCTGCAAAGCACTGACCTCCTTATTCGAATGTATCTGGAAGGAAGAGAATGTCCCGGCTAATTGGAGCGAATCAAGAATAGTGGTAATATGCAAGAAGGGCAGTCGCACAGATTATTCTAACCACAGGGGGTATTAGCCTAACGCCAGTTATGACAAAATTACTGGCGTCGATTCTCGTTCGTCGCCTTACTGCGGAACGGTAATCTCGGAGTAAGGAAGAGCAGGCCGGTTTCCGCCTAGGACGTGGCTGTATAGACCATATATTTACTTTGCGGCAGGTGCTAGAGCAGCGCCACGCGTACCGCAGACCGACAATAGCTATGTTCCTCGATTTCAAGAGTGCGTTCGATTCAGTCGATCAATCGATTCTGTTCGAAATACTTGCGCGGAAAGGTGTTCCCACGAAACATGTCGACATCCTTCGTGCTCTATACTCGAACACTACAGGCCGCGTCAGGGTCTACGGTGTCCTGTCGGATAGCTTTCCGACCACAAGTGGCGTTCGTCAAGGTTGTCCGATTTCCCCATTTTTGTTCACTTTCGTTGTGGATTCTATCATGGAGTGTTCCCTTGCGGAATCTCACGATGTAGGCGTTGAAGTGCTGCCTGGTGAAAGGTTAGTTGATCTAGATTATGCGGACAATATCGTCTTGCTTTTCGACGATGTTGGGGCGGCACAATCAACCCTGAATAGCCTGTCCAGAGTGGTCCCATTATTTGGTATGCACTTCGCACCTTCAAAGTGCAAAGTGTTGCTTCAGGACCACCAGCCACTTGATGATCCCTTGACGCTTGCTAACGAGGAACTCGAGGTGGTTGATCAATGCACGTATTTTTGCAGCCGCATCAACAACGATGGGCGCATAAAAATTGACGTCAGCTCACGCATTGTAAAGGCCAGAGCTGCCTTCTTGAACCTGCGGCACCTTTGGCGACAGAAGGGAGTTTCCCTTCGTCTGAAAGGCCGTGTATACAAAGCCAGAGTGAGGGCCGTTCTGCTGTATCGTAGTGAGACTTGGCCCCTTCGGTCTGAAGATCTAAAGCGCCTTGAACTCTTTGACCATCGTTGTCTGCGCAGCATTTCTGGAGTCGGATGGCACCAGCGTGTTCGCAACGATGATGTGCGTAGGCGAGTACTAGGAAGTGCTAAGCATGCTAGCTCTCTGGAACAACAGATAGCACTGAATACGTTGCGTTGGCTCGGGCACATGCTACGTATGCCTGGTCACCGCTTACCTAGGAGGGCCTTGTTTAGTCTACCAGGTGTAGGATGGCGCAAGGCTCGAGGTGGACAGAAGTTGACTTGGCAACGAAAAATGAAGTCAATGCCGACCAAACTGGGTGCCGTTGGTCCGTCTCGTCTTTCGGGCTGGAGTCCACGTGACTCGCCTTGTGCTTGGCTCGAGACTTTACAGGACATGGCTCACAACCGACACCAGTGGCGCGTCTGCTGCCGTCTCCTAATCGGATTGTCTGTTTAAAGTGTGTTTGGTGCTGAGTTATCTGCGGGGTAATAGCTGATTATGGCGCGGGGCAGTGGAAGCCGTAAGGAAGCTGTCTCGCCGATGCCGCCTTATCTTTGCACGATAGCCAGCTGTTTGTGACGGTATGTTGTTAACACAAGGTGTAGGCGCCTTGACCCTGAATGTTTGCTTAGGGCATTTAGGTTTTCAGGTAAGTCCCTCTTCTCTCCCTCTTCTTATTCTTTATTTCATAGGTCCTCATGGTTGTATGGCAGCGAAGCATCAGTACAAGTGGCTGATGTACTGCTGTTGTTGATGATGATGATAGCTTGTAAATCATGACAGTCCGAAGCTGTAACCCGTGGCCCAGTGGCATAAGCTGTTGGCTGGCGGTGCAAGCCGCTGGTGGTCCTGGTTTCTAGTCCTGATGGATTCGATGGATGCGCACTACTGATGGTGCCCAACAGGCTCAAACTGCGGTCTAGTACTTTTCTTGGCATGTGGACAACTATCTGATTTGGAAGCTAGCTGGGAGGAATATCAAGTATTAATATCAAAATCCCCTACTCACGAATACATCAAAATATTTCCGCCCTAACAGTTTCCAAATGCTGTGATCGGGTGGGACTGAAAGGATAGGAGAATCCCGTGAGTGTTCCACTTTGAGTGGATCGTTGAGCCAGGAATTGGTGAAGTGCACAGTGACTGATGGATCTAAAACGGAGCACCCATAATCTATCCTGGCCAACCAGTTAATGCCCACGTTTCCTGCCCTAGAAGTCCCTGCTGTGGCAGTCACGTGAAGTAAGCCAAAGGTAGGAAGAGAAATCGAAGGTACAGAATAAGGAAGTGCACCTGAAATGAGAAAATAATACCAATGCATGAAGAAAAGTAGAGAAAATAAAATCGAAGTACGAAGATGCGAGTTACTCAGGAAAATGGAAAAGTTTCGTGTTGCCACCCAAGAGCGTCAAGTTGCCGCTCAAACCTCTTAACCGTACATTCCCTGATAACACTTTCCGGAAGAATGTTCCAGCGCTCCATGACTAGGCGTGACAGCCGGATTTCCGCCGTAATCCGATCGGACCGCGGTTTGTCTAGCTTCAAGGAATGACCGCGTAGAACAGACAATATAGCGAGACTGAATAGACAAGATAAATCTGGACCAACCTTCCCAGTTAAGATACGGTAGGTTAGAATCAGATCTCCTCTAAGCCTTCGGTAGTGCATTGAACGCATTCTCAAACTAAGTAGACGCTCCGGGTACGTCCGTCCCCGTAATCCCTTGACTAACCTGGTACCCACCCGTAAAACCCACTAGCTACATTTTGTCCAGGACGAGGCAGGGCGGACAAGATTGGACGCAGTATTCCAGATGAACGAACGTCGAGAACAGTCTCGTAAAGATGTCGCCCGTCAAGACTTCGAACGAACGTTGCATTAACCACAACATGCGGAAACCTCTGCTTGCGGCCTTCTTCCAGTTGTCTCCAGAATGTAAAGACGAGGAATTAACGACACCTTGGTCTACCTGGTTGGAGACAAGGGGGAGTTCCACCCCACCGAAGTACGTAGCTCGAAGGCGAGAAAGTTGCTCCTATACGAAGGACGGAGCACTTAGCCTGATTTGTGGGCAGTAGCCACAAACTACACCAGTGCGAGAGTCTGTCCAGTGCATGCTGTATGGCCTCAGAACCCCAGGAACATTTACAACATTCCATAGCTTAAGGTCATCAGCAAACAATAAGGATGATACCCCAAACTCTCCAGGGAGATTGTTTATGTAGATGGAGAACAGCATC